AAGTTGTTTTAATGAAAGTGTAAAGACTTTATTAGCAAAGAAGTATAAAACTTCCTGCGAATATCTTTTTTGTGTGTGGTCAGAGGATCAGCGGAAAGAGTTTTTTATATTCATAAACTATTTATAGTTGTCTTCTTTCAGTAAACCATTTATATATATATTGAAAATCATATCTTGGAATTTGATGGTTAGCTCAGATAGTTTACTCATTATGTGAACTTCTATATTAATGAGCTTATTGAAAAATTGTTGGATCTTGCATTGCTAAAATAAGAACTTCTATTTGATTACTTGTTGAATCTACACAATGATAATATAATATATTGAATATAATATGAATGGATACTTTGCATCGAATATAATGTTCTCTATATTGCAAATGTTACAGGTGATTACTTTGTTATCAACTTTCAAACATAAGTTGTGTCTCACCAGAATAGTCTTCACCAACTTACTCTATAATAAACATGAATGCAATATAATATATCTCTGAAATAGAAAACTACTTCTATATTTTATAACAAATCAAACAAAGCAAGAGAAATAATGAATAAATTTTAATCAATATAACCCATCCTAAATAACCTAGAAATCCCTTAAAAAACTTAAGGAAAAACCTTACACCTAATATTATTTGGCTTATAAGAAGACATGAATTTGCCTTTTCACTTATACAAGAAATCAATAGCCTGATACTCAATATCAGAAATAAACATTTCAATCGAGAAAATCATAAATAAAGACTTTTACTCAAAACACTGGCATGATATGAAAAAGCATAACCTCATGTTCATAGGACAAATGCAAAACAGAGACAGGTAAAAAACTTTGGAATGGTGTCTGACTCCCAGCTGGTTCATCACTATCAATCACAAACTTAAAGAAATAATAGAAACAGAAGGAATTTCAAACTCTCAGACAAGAACAACAAACATCTTCAAACAAGGAGTATCCACGACCGAACTCACCACTACCAAACCACACTGGATCTATACTAGTGCGTTCTTCGAAACGCCGATCATTTTCGCCAAGAATAAGGATTATCATTTTCCTCTCATTCGTGCATCGGATTTACTAGCTGGCTTTGAAGCAAACAACCATTATGCGAGATATCCTTGATATCGACCATATTTAAACGAAAAAACAATCAAATGCTGACGGCACAGTAAACAAAATATGACTTGCACATTTAATGTACTCATCGTTGAAATAGTTTTGTATTATTTTGTCGTCAAACTCTTGATCTGTTATATATCATTTGTTAATAGTAAAATGGTAAATCTACTTGAGCATCTCTTTTATTTGTGGACTGTTTGGTAAGTCTCGCATATAACGCATTTGTAATGGAGGAGTAGTTGTGCCACTTTGAGAAATCCGACAATTTTAATCCAGCAATTTTGCTGATTCGTTCCTGCCAATGTAAAATATAAATGAAAGTTATCAACTACTTCATTGTAAACAAAAAATGAAATATGTTGCGTGTGTACCTCTAGTGCCGCAAAGTGCTGGATGTTTGACTCCAGCAAAGGAATGGTGGTTTTATCTTTGACCAGTCGGGTAGTTAAAAAAGGCCATGACCGGTAAAGCTCATCGTATTTGAGATCCATAACATATGATTCTACCAAATCTCCTGAAGGTATAGTTTAAACATAATTAATTGAATTGAAATCAAGCTTTATCAACAATGAACACACGTACCTTGATTTATTAACAATATTGCTTCTTCTGGACCACCTTTCATTTTTTATTGGACTTGCGCCCTCGCAACTGTACCTTCAACTGGTCTTTTTGTTGTTGGAGAGATGTGAATCCAGGCGGTTTGATCTCTGAATTAAAAATAGAAATTTCGTCGACCAAACACGAAAAATCCGCCCTCATTGCTGTACCCTTTGTTGCACGATTCAATCGAATCTTATATTCTTTATTTGAACCGGTAAAAAAAAAAAGGACGGATGATTGGGTGTAGCAACTAGAAACAGTGTTCGTCTTCCGATGTTTTGGTTGGGGAAACGACAGGAACGCTATTGCACCTGTTATACAGGAAAAAAAGATAAGAGGCAGATTTGATCTCGGTTCAGTTATTGAATCAAGACTTACATGTCATTGAAAATTCTAGAAACGGCTTGACTAATTTCTGAATAATGTATAGACAAAAAAACGTTCTTTCCTTCTAGACAATCAGCAGATGCATTTCGGAAAGAGGATGCAACCTCCGTTGGTAGTAATGGGATCGGCTACAACATATGGATTTTCACGTGTAATATTTTGCCATTCCCGATTTGTGAAAATCGAAGCAGGGTAAGGGCAAGGCGAGCTGAATAGAATTACGAAGACAATGCCCTATCAAGCACGCAAAGTCATTAGAACAATAAATTATCCAGTATTATTACGTATTCAAAAATACTTGCAATATTTCATAAAAATCACTCCACTTTAATCTGCTGGTCTTCGCCTTCTCAAGTACATCTATCTGATATTGTATAAATCTTTGAGATACGTTGATGGAACCAACTATCCACTAAAAAAACGGAAGTAAACTGAGATATTAATAATAGAAGAACAAAGATCTTGACGTGGCATACCTAGTTGGTCGGTTCCTGTTGCAATTCTTTTTCAATGACTGTAAAATCAAACTTTATTTATTCAAGATCTACATCAGAAGAGGAAGAATTTTGGACATCATTTCTTGATCTCGTGTTTGGAGCACTTTCAACATTTTTTTTGCCTAAATATATAAAATACGTGAGCCTAGGTTCTCTTAACTTTACCACATAATTTTTACCTTTTTATGTGAAATGTTTATTTCAATTTCATTCCCTCGTTTACGAGTGGTTGATAATTCTATACCTTCGGTCAACACTTCTGGTTCATGTAAGTATTCAGTAAGCTTTTCACAGAAAAAAACGTTAGAACAAGTAAATAGAATCCTAGATACATCCCTGCTACAAATAGTCGGAACTTTAATAACCAAAAACATTCTCAATAATACCTCGTCCTCGTCATGTTCGGATACTAAAAACGGATTTTTTTCGGCATCCGAGATTATCTCTTGACTTGAACCAAGTGTGATATGTTAATCTCGGATAACAACGGATGAATTTGATGATAATATAACTTACTTTCGAGGCAAGTTCATTTCATCCTCTCTGCCCGTTGCTTTGTTCTAGTACAGAGAAGTCTATGGATAAGTTGGGCTTGTTTTTTAGAGCTTCAAGGATTACCTTACTTTTTGGTGTCCACTTTGCAAAGGAAAGATATTAGAATAGTCTTCGGAGGTTAATGTTTCTGCATTATGTTCTGCAACTTTACTGTACACTTTCATACTGCCAATGATATGCGCTTGCTTTGCTTCCATCTATTTTGCAAAAGTTTGATCGTTATTTATATTATGGTAAATAAAGATAATAAAAGAATAGTAGTATCAAACCTTTTCCCGTTCATAGATTATTTCTGTCCAGTAGGTCTTCAAATTTTTGTTTGCACTTTGCTTTTTTACCTGAGCAGAAATAAGAGAACGTCAATTTGGGCATTTCCATATTACAAGCAAACAGAATAAGCTCAGGCGATGAAAATACGAGTCGCAATAGTTAGGTTGGAATGATAGCCAATACTCCAGTCCAGACGACAATAAACTGGAGCTACCATCACTATTACTCGGGATGGAATGACAGCCAATACTCCTAGTCCAGACAACAATAAACAGGAGCTCCCTATTATAAAGAGGTAATAATACGTGACCTGTTTTTCTACAGCCTCATAGTCTGATTTCAGTATTGCTGCTTGATTCAGAAATCTACGAGTCCAAGTGAGGTTAATAAGAGTCCAATCGTTCGAAAAAGGTTGCGAGGAAAGAATAACACTGCGAAGATTTAAAAATTCAGTGTAGGACCATTCTGTGTGTAAGAGATAAGTTCTGTAAAATTTGTTATGGTAAGTTAGAAAAGAAGGAACCTATTTTTCTATTAAATTGCGATCTAAACTCACGAGTATAACCAGGGTAGGGTTCAACGTCGTTGCTCATGGTGCAAATCGACTTTGTGAACAATTATTTTTTCAGAAATAAAAAACAACAATTTCAAGACGCGTTTTAGGCCACTAAAAATAGTACACAATCACATGATATAAATCATATTTACATTAGGGCGGTCGCATATATGCGTTGGCCAATCAAAAATATGCGTGCGGTAATTTATTATATATGCCGAAATATACCCTTTATGACTTTAAAAATATGCCCGAAAAAATGCTAAAAAATGCTAAAAAAAAGTAAAAAATGCAAAAAAGTTAAAAAAATGCAAAAAAGTTAAAAAAATGCGAAAAAAAGAGAAAATTTTATTATATTTATTAATCCTTATTAAAATATAAAAAATTTAAAATGGAAATTGATTCCTCCAATAATGAACAATGTTTATCACTAAGAATATTTCTATAAGATGAAAAACTTCTTTCTACATCAACCCCCGATACTGGAAGCCAAATATACATTAATGCTATTTTAGACAAATTTGGAAGATAATTTTTTTTATCATTCCAGTATTTATCTAAATCTAATTCATTATCTTCTTCAAAATTTTCATTTAATTCACAATAAATTCCCCATTCAAATAAAATAATACTACTAGGATTTTTAAATTCTTTGATTTCACTATATCTTTGAATATTATATCTTGCTTGATTAACTTGTATAAATTGAGAATTAAAACATTGAATAGCTTTAAATAATAATAATACAGAATAATAGTCAATATGTTTTTTAAATTTATCTAATGTTGATTGAAAAACTTTGCTTAAAATATTGATGAATCCATATTTAAAGAATTAAATTTGATATTCATTTCACTACTAATTGGAGGTTGAATTGTACCTGATTGTAAATGAGATTCCAGTAAATGTAATTTTGTAAATACAAGATGTACTATAGATTTGTTACAAATTTTAAAAAATTCCAAAATATTATAAAGACTATAATAATAAAAAAATAATTATTAGTTAATTAGTTAATTAATTAATTAAAATTATAATTAAATAACTTATCTTTTTGCATTAAATGCAATAAACTTCGTTAAAATTTCAAACATAAAAGTATTTGTTAAATTATTAAATATTGATATTAATTCTTTAACTACCTTACTTTTATTATTTGTATTTTTTTCTTGAAGAAAAAAAACTTTCAAATAATATAAATGTTTTTTTATTCAAAAAACAAAATTAAACCAAGAATTTTATCTAGTTTTTGTAGATAAAGGAGATAAAGTTGATTTTCAAAAAAGGAAAATGAATTTAAAAAAGAAATCCATCTTTTTTTGTGAAAATTATTTTGAACAAACGATGTTTTAATATTTTGAATAGCAATTTCTAATACCAAATACTACTCATCAAATTTAAAATATATGCAAAACAATAATTATATTTTATTTGAAGAATTAAAGGAAATAAAACAATAAAAGTTTTTAATATATATGAAGCATTATCTAAAATGAATAAAATAATATTTTCAAAAGAAATATCATAAAAATAAATAGTATACATAACTAATTGTGCAATAAATGAATTATCTACAATTGTCAAATATTCAGTTTTAACAAGTTTTGTAAAATTTTTAAAACTAAACAAAATATTTATAGTTGCATATCCACAATAATTAGTTGATTCATCAATAATAATTAAAATTGCTTATTTTATCAAAATAGTTTTTAAATTTTTTAATTCTATATTATATATAATTAGTAAATATTTTTTTCTAAGTTGTGAAGATATAACAATAGTACCTCCTATTTATAATAAAAATAAATTAGAAAAATATATATAATATAATATAATATATATAACTTATTATTTTTACAATATTGAGACAAAAATGATTTAATATCAGAAAAATTTTTTGGTAAAGATCTTTGAAGATTTTCAGGTATAAATCTCTGGAGGCACACCATTATTGTTAGAAGTCTCTGGAATGGAGATTTATATATACAACTCCAGAGAATTTCAAATGTTTTAAATTGTAATAAAATAATTTTGTATTATTATTAAAATTTTTATTTTTAAAATTTTATTTATTGAAAATTACTTTTTTTACATATTTTTATTAATCAATTACATTTACATCACTTATTACTAAAGTAGAC